GAACATACCTCGGTCGAATATTATGGCGACCACTTCGTTCTGTCGTGCGTTATTTTGCGTGTGTTTTATTTTATTTTATGTAGTTCTGATTATGTAATTCTCGGACCGTAATATCTATGATACACACATTTTGATAAGTTGAACGGATGTGAATCAATTGACTGGGTTTACATTTTAAATCACGTCATAAACGAGCATTTTTAATTTGTACGAAACGTTATGAATTCTAAGACACTTCCTGATTTTTGTATTGCATCAAAACCTGAGTCTTCTGCGATATTTGAGCATCTTATTCAGCACATAATAAGAAAAAAACGAGTAGCCTGATTAATCGCTTGAAAACGCACTCATCTTGGGTAATAAAAATGAATCAATATTCCATGATTATGAATTCGAATTTCGATTGCAGTCCATGTTTTCTCACCGGAGCCGCGAGCGTTGACTCTCAGAAAATGATTAGCAAACATCATATCATCCAAAGCAAAAGAATAAAGATGAAATAAAGTGATCGCTGACCAAGATCAGTGGTCGTTCGAAGTTATGTTTTCTCACCGGAGCCGCGAGCGTTGACTCTCAGAAAATTATTAGCAAACATCATATCATCAAAAGCAAAAGAATAAAGATGAAATAAAGTGATCGCTGACCAAGATCAGTGGTCGTTCGAAGTAAGTGCCTCATCAGTTGCCCTGAACCCCTCCCACACATCCTTGAAAGAAAACCTGGGAGTGCTGCTTGAGGGGAAAAGCCCGAACTTTACTGAAAATTGATCCCACTTGGGCTTCGAATGAGACCATCGGGTAAGAGCGATTTAGCGAGGGGGCAATTCTGCCAAATTGCGTATCTACTGTGATCTTTTCCGAGGTTTTAACCTGGGATATTGCGCTCCTTCGTGTTGAACAAAAAGTTGCGTAAAAATTGAATTTGCGTGGACGTGTAATTTGTGGTAAAGGTGGTCTATGCATTACGCATTTTTATGGCTGCAACTGCTTTCTTATAAAATTGATCATTTCTTTAGAAAGTCACATGAGCCTAACTTAAGCTAGTCCAACAGTGCTTCAACATCCGCAAAGTAATCAAAGGAACGACAGCTGCTCTATTAAAATAGAACGAAGGAAAGGTAAATGCAATCCAATTTTGTTGAGTAGAGCGTGCAAAATATGTGTAAAAATCTAGTAAATCACGTCCATAACTCAATGTTAAGGTCGAGTCAGGAAATGCAAAATTTACGGAGTCCCAAAAAATAAATTTTTGGATAAAGACTAGGTCTAAAGGATTCCGCATTCGAGCTTCACTTCAGTTTCCAAGTCAAGTTCATGTGGTCAAAGCCCGTTTTCACTTCGAAGGGAATTTGCCTTATAAATTGCTTGTAAAAGGGCTTCTCCCTTTGTCAAAAAGTTCTGAGAATTTGTTCAGTTTTTGGTTAGTTAGGTTGCCGTTATTATCGCTGCTAAAGGTGCAACTATTGAGAGAACGTGGGTGAAATTTTAGGGAGGTACAGTAGTAGTAGTAGTATTAGTACGAATGAATTTTCACTAATCAAAATTACTGTACAGTATTTACTTGAATATGAGATACCATCCATTATACAGTAGTAAAATACTCACTCGTTTTTCGTGCGCCTCAAAATTAAAAAAGCATTTTACTGCGAAAATAAGGCTCAATTCAATTGTGTCTGCTTTCCTCAAAATCAGTGAGTCCATAAATTTTTTTGAGCTTCATGACGTTTTGAAGGATATCAGGATTTTCACTCTCGTGACCTTCATGTGGAGAATGCCAATAACATTTTCTTCAATTGAATGCCAATGCTTTTTTTATTAGAAGATTGTGTTGGTCACAAGCATTCATATACATAGCGTATTGTCATACGCTTCTGCGAATGTAAGTCGCCATGGAATATTATGCGTACACGACATACCAAATTTGAAAGCAACATTTTGGAAGAAAAAAGACGTTTCATGTTCAGATGAAAGTGCCAGTTGAGTGCGTAAGATTCGAACGTGTCTCTAACATTTTTCCTGAGGTGAACGAATCTATGCTATGATAATCATCAGTGCATGTAGTAATTATGAACGCGTAAAAAAATATTGCGTGAGGGAAGGTTTTCGGAGAACTTCGGAATTGATCCCCGTGGAAATGCCATATCCGGGTTTCCTGACGAGTCGGAAGACCTTTCCTAGAAACAGCATTTGCTCCTTCGGTAGGCGGTTTTGATCGAACTTTGTTCGACGTCGGACTGATGCATTCCACGAATTTCCAGACTAGGAATAAGGATTACACGTTTCCTCGTAATTCTTCGAGCCGAATTATTATTATATTTTTCGTTCTCTGGTGCGGATTTTGTTGATAATGACGATATTGCGTGTGCGTGACAAATCCGTATCAACTAACGCGTTCTTTCGTCCCCCCTTTTTTATTTTCAGTATCACAAGCACCTTTTCGTACATCTCGGAGGACCGCCGCCGACGTATTCAGACCCCTTGCTTGAGGTGAGTTTCGTGTGGTATTTTGACTAATTCCGGGAGTGCTTCTTCACTGACGTGTTTTTTTGTTGTTGAATGATTGCAGTCGATCGATATCAAGCAAGTCTGCGACAAATTCCCCGACAAGAAGGGCGGCTTAAGAGAGCTCTATGAGAAAGGCCCGCAAGATGCATTTTTCCTCGTCAAGTTCTGGGGTGATCTCAACTACACAACGAATGGGCAGCCCGAGGAACCCGGGAACTTTTACGGCGTTACCTCCATGTACGTTCGTCTTTTCTTGAAATTAAAAGAAATGGAACTATTGTTTCCAAAATTGCAAGACTTTGCTGACCTCAGATGAGCCCAGATGAAAAATTCGGTGGAAGATTTTCATTTTTCTATGGTTACACGTGTTTGAATTTGTCAGGGGTTTGCGTGAAATTATTTTCTGCCGCCTGAAAGGTAAAATTATTTTAACACTATACAACAAAAGTGAAAAGGCAGGGCAATTCCCATGAATTTTACCTGTTCCATTTCTTCTTGGATTTGTGGTGAAGTTGTTTTGAAATCTCTTGTCTTATTTCTCCGCCACTTCATGTCCTTCTAGTTATTGAATAATCCCTTGACACTTCCTTCACATTTAGTGCAGAGGAAATATGCGCTTATTCATCTCGGAGAATCAATAGGTTTCTAAACTAATTCACGATTCTCCCAATCTTCTCATGAAGTCGAATTCTTTTGAAGCTGATCTACATTCGAGATATAATAAAATGTTAAATCCGTCCCAACCGTTCGATATTCAATTATCACAATCAAATCCGAAAGCAAAAATTTCCTTGAGCTTTTCTCTGAAACGATTACCGATTATCATAAGCTGTAGCGTGTATCCCATTCCCGGGAAAAATATACTGAACAGTGTATTACCTATCTTCTATTTCTCGGGAAGGACGATATTATTATTTTTTTAAGTGATAAAAGACCTGAGATCTTTTGTCTACTGCCAACTGACTCATTTTATGATTGATGTCCTGTACAATTCAGAATGATGCAAGTTTAATAGCGATTTGGCGTGATACTGGATATACCAAACCCTCTCGATATCATTAGAGCACGAGTTACGAACGTTCTGAAATATCTGTGCTATGTTGACCTGACATTTATAATCGTAAAGCCAATATTTGTTCTTCAAAAGGTTTTTGAGAAGTCGGCATTTTTCTTATCGTGAAGAAGTCAGGTTGTCTCGTGGACATTTTTATATTTCACCGGCTATTGTAAGAAATGTGGTCGAGTTTTCGTCATCATCTCCATCTCGATAATCAATCTTAAGAGTGGTTTCCGCCACCAAAATTTTGAAATCGTATCTTTCGGGAGGAATTATTTTCAATATCTCGTTGATCGAGACACATATCATTATTTCATTGCCTTATTTTTATTTTTTTATAGCTACGAAAGTCCGGTAAATATGACGATTCAGTGTTCGACAAAAGCATGCTCGTTTGGCAAGCAAATCGTGGAGAAGGTGGAGACGGAATACGCAAAGTACGAGAACGGACGATTCGTGTACCGCATCAACCGGTCTCGAATGTGCGAGTACATGATGAACTTCATCCACAAATTGAAGCACCTACCGGAAACTTATATGAAGAATTCCGTCCTCGAGAACTTCACCATCCTCCAGGTATGAGTTATTTCCGAGGGATTGATGATTTCTGCGCTATAATTTCCTGAAAAATGTAATCTATGTTGAATTATGGGCGTAAAACTGTGAAGTTTGAGTCAGAAAAGAGGACGCTGACAAAAGAAGGGAAAAGATGAATGCTGGGATCATTTGGAGAGCCACAAGTATTTTTCGATTGGGAAAGGAATAGGAACAATTTCGCCTTTTTCATGGCAAATCGCAGTATGATTCATTTAATATAGTACTGTACTTCCTCACTGCAGTATTTATGTAACAGACGATACAGGTGAAAAATAGTTTTCCTGAGGTTGTCAAGATCGTACTTGATTATCCTCTCCATTTCAAAAAATCATAAATGTTGATCATTAGGTGCTACTCATTTTCTCTCGTCTCTCATGTACCGCGTGTAGTCCCGAGGAGGGAGGAAATGTTCTTTTGTGCCGAATTCTCGTGTTCATAACACAGATGTCCGGATTTTTCAATTTGCTCAATTTCAAACCTTTTGATTTTGGAACAAATTTCATAATTGTATCTTCGTATCACCTTAAAATAATCGCATTTTTGCCGTTTTAGTAGCGCGTGAACTTGACTCGAATGTGAACGAATTTTGACGTATATGTTAGTCATATGCCGTCTTTGCCAGTTGAGTAGCCAGGTAAATCATTGTATCATGCCGAGGAATGACATTTTATGAAATTAGTTCGTAGGAAGAATTTTTTACGTAAAATTTCATTTGACTTTTCTGTTTCTTTTCCAGGTGGTTACAAATCGAGACACCGATGAAACGCTGCTGTGCATTGCTTACGTTTTTGAAGTGTCGACATCGGAACACGGAGCACAGAACCACATTTACCGACTGGTTCAAGTCTGAGATGCTTTCAAGATTTTTTTTTGCTTGGAAAAGATGATTTAATGCTGAGGTTTTTGTTACTCGTTGTTCGCTTGGCGATGGACCTTGTTGTGGAAGGAGCAGTTGGCGAGGATGAACTGACCTTGTGTGCTTCGGCGGAAAAAAGAAAAAAAGAAGCTTCTTTGAGCGATGAACGTAACATTTTTGCCGTCTGGATTTTTTTGTTTTTCTTGAAATCACCAGACGAAATCCGGGCAGGTAATCGTTCCCTCGTTGACAAGCGCTCCGCTGTGTTTTTTTTTTCGAGAAGAATTTATCCCGAGTGAAGGCGAGAGGATTTTATTGTTGCTTGCTTGTAAGAAGCCGTTCCGAATCTTCTTTTTTATGATTTCCTTCCCTAATTTGTTCGATATTCGGCGTTGTCCCTCACCTCCGAAATTGCGTGTGCATGGTAGGCCCGAGGTTTTGATCTCCCGTGTTTTTATTCAAGTTTTTTCCGTGGGGGATGGAACGTCAAAAGTTCGAGGTTCGGAAGAAATTTTTTCGTATGAACGCGGGGTGTTTTTTGTTTTGTTTTTTGTTTCTTGAGTGGCCCCGAAACGAAAAGATAGAAGAAAAACGGGCCATTGGGTTGGAAACGCGGACAAAATTTTTTTTGGTGGTGGTGGACATGATCTCTCCGAGTGTGGAGGGGCTTCTGGGGTTCCGAAGTCCCGTGGGATCAGCAGTGGGCTGCAGGGTTGCAACGCGCGACGGATTGTGTGTCGAGAGCCCACACTGGAACCCCCACCCGATAGCATTAAAAAACCGTCGTCGTCGTTGTCGTACTTCCGAGATCCTCCCCCCGATACAAAAAAAAAGAAACGTTTTTTTCTTCTCAAAGAGTTCAAAACATGTGATACATGCCATTACACGGAAAGAATTTTTTGACATTGAGTAGGTAGTTCTTTACATGAAAGAGACGAGGGTAATTTATTTTTCTTCGACGAGATGTCGGTTCTTTCTTACTTCAGCTGCTGCTTCTCCTTCTTCCCCTACCCTGAGTAAGTTCTCTCTAGATTGCCGTAACTTTTGTTGCGTTGTTCTTGTCAGTGTGCCGATGATCGGGAGGTGTTTTCTACTTTTTTGCGCCGTAGTGGATTAGGAGAAAAATGCCAAGATTTTTTGGGGACTGATGAGTGGGTATCAGTGAACCAAAGGAGAAAACGTGCCTTGAAATCAAAGAGTCGCTGGAACGCGTTATTCAATGTGGGGTTTTTTTCTTGAGTCTGTAAAACGCATAAAAATCGGGTTCACTCTGATTTCCTTTCGTCCTATTTTTACTCTGCGCAAAAATACCGTATTAACGCGATTATAGACCGCAATGTCAAGGGGTGTGGCATATTATATTTGAGGTCAAGTGGAGGGCAATGCGTTAAGTTGTTGGAAAATCCTTCCATGAGAGAACCAAGCAGGAAATTTTCCCTGGATGATTGTTGATTTCTCTCTGCATTGCATGAATTTTCTGCCAAGCTCATGCAATCTCTGCAAAACTCTGATTTTTGCAATAGTTCGCCGGTTCAATGCTGTTGCTGGTTTAGAGGTTTGTATCGGGCTCGTTTTCATTTCCAAAATCTCGCGTTTTCATGTTGTCCGTACAGATAATCACAGCTCAAAACCAGTCTGCGGCCTATAATCACGTGAAGTAGGGTTCAACTGTCTTGATTATGCAATTTTCATCGCAAAAAAATACACAGGTAGAGAGATAGGGAGAGATGGAAAAAACTGAAAAGCTTTCGCGAAGAGGAATCGATCTCAGTCCTCAGCATGAGCAAACGTGGGTTATTATGTATGTGGAACTACTTCGTGGCGGGGTGCCCATTCAGCCTTTTCTCCGTTGTTTCCGATGATAGCATCATCATTATTTTATTTTTAAAAGAACACGATCTGGGAGTTTTCTTCAGTGAGGGGTTTTTATTTTTTTGCGGAAAGATGATTTTTTCGATGCAGGCGATGGGCGGCATTAAACTTTACACCTACTTTGGTTTTTTGGAAACTTGTCGGTTGCGTTCAGGCGAGAGCGTGCGGTACTTTCAGTTTTTGAGCAAATGAATGGGTCGTCTTTTTGCCATGTGCCTTACCGAGATTTTATCGTATAACAGTGTGTTTTGCTGTGCTGTCGGGTTTCCCCCTCTCTTTCTTTGCGAACACCCCCGAGATTTGCTGCATGGTCATCGTCGGTCGAGATGTGGATGGAATTGATCTCAGTGGGGGTTGCGGACTGGCTGTCTTGCAAGAGGAACCCGGGGAACGTTGGCGGGGAAAGTGAAAAAGGGGGTTGATGACCGTGCCTGTGTCCAGCTGTCGACTTCGGTGTACGCTTTGCACCTGTTTGCTACCCGCTGCTCTCAAAAATTTTAGTTGAGTTGGGAAATGAAAAAATGAATGAAACCGTGGGCTTCGCCTGTGCCCCTTCTTCCTGCTCTTCGTGTCCGTGTGCCTGTCATATGAAGCATAATTTGATCTTGAAGTTGAAGCAAGATTTCAAGTGAAGAAATTTTGTACAGTGTCAAGAAGTATTATTTGAATAAAATGGAGAGAAAATCAAACTCTGAAGTCTTGGTTCTTTCCTACCTTAGCATGGCAAAGCTTCTAGCGGAATCGGTATTGTCAATCTGAATCGAGAGGTTCGTATTTTCGGAAATACTGCCTAGATGTCACCCTTTTGGAACATGTGCCGATCCACCAAGCAAGCTGTAAAACCCATCCCAACCACTTCATAAATCGTGTACTGTATTTCACATACTTATAAAGCGCACATTTGATAATTAATTGTAACTCGACGGAGTGAAAGAAAAGATACCAACCATGAAATCGTCCTATTAATTTTCACCTGGGAAATGGAGGTCTTTGGCTTTTCGGTAAGTACTGTATGATGGATATGGCCGTGCAAATTCATGTTACCACCAATTTATTCAATGATGAGAGAGATCAGCATTGTGTCCATTTCTAAAGGTTTCATAATTTTAAAATCTTGATGCACGTCAATACAGTAATCTTCCTCAGTTTTCTAAGCAACATTTATGAGTCCCAAAAGGCTAAAAATAAGGTAAAAATGTGCTCTCCTTCCCCTGACCCCAAAAAATTCTTTACTATCTTATCGAAATTACATGTATGCCAGGATTTTTGTTAATATTTGTTCGCGTCGCTCTTTATTGCCTCTCGAAACATGTACAAGTCCCGAAAGGTTAAAAAATTGTCTTTCGTCCCCCTGACCCCAAAAATCTTTTACATGTTAAAATCATTGTATGCCAGAATTGTTTTTAATCTTCACGTATAGTCTTGACCCTCAAAATACAGCATATTTATGTTGCCCGACGGGCGCTTTCAAGCAGAAGCTTGTAAAGATCTCTGTTTTACATGTTAAAATCATTGTATGCCAGAATTGTTTTTAATCTTCACGTATAGTCTTGACCCTCAAAATACAGCATATTTATGTTGCCCGACGGGCGCTTTCAAGCAGAAGCTTGTAAAGATCTCTGTGGAACCACATCAAAGTGCATCGGGGAATGTCAACTGGTTCCTTCCTAGATGTCACTAGACTGATACGCATGCAAAGGAAACAGATATGAAAGAGCATTCCGTTTACTTCTTCACATCAATAATACCATCTGACAGCTTCGTCAAATGCGCACCACCTTCGCTCTCCCATGCAAAATCACTCGGGAAAATACGAGAATCCGGAAGAAAGCAACACCGGGCAAGAGGGAAACGACGAAGCGAGTCGCAAAAAAATAACATCCTCCCCCCGCAACGCTCACATCAAATTACGCACGCACTTTCTCGAAGGACAAAGAAAACACAAAAAAACACCAACCCGTCCAAATTCTAAATCTCTCCCCGCATTTGTGTCGCACGCGAACAAACGATGATCGATCTCCACCGAAACTACAATGCGCTGCTCGCTAATTTTTTTTTTTTTACTCCCAGAATCCCGCTCACACTTGCGATCACCGACCGACCGACATCTCGATAATATTAAGACGAAGCTACCTTTTTTTTTATGGATCACTCACTCGCATTCCCACTAGAAAGGGATTGAAGAGAAAAGCAGAAATAAATCACGTTTGCTGCAAAAATTAGCCCTAAAAAAAAGAAACAGCCGGCGCGCGATTTTTTATTTTTATTTTTTGCGAGCTCTCCAAGAAATTCTTAGTACCGTGCGATGAAAAAGAAAAACCTTAGACAGACGTCACGTAAAAACAAATTGTGTCGTGCTTCGATCTGGTTTTTGAGTGGGGGTAAAGTTCTGCAAATAGAATGAATATTCCTTTCGGAACGTATTTCCGGCGCACTTCTACTCGGAAGTACGTGGCTTGGTCGGCATCAAGAGTTCGTGCACCATTCTTATTACACAGAGGCATGATTCAGAGGAAAAATAAAAAGGCCCCTTTACATAGAAAATGATACGCTTCGTAGTCTTCGCTTCCTCGGGGAACTTAGTTTTTCTTTTTAAGGTTTTCGAAACCCTTTAATGCACTAGTTTTTCTACTGCCTCTGAAACGGATCCGCAGAGCAGCCTTTGAAGTTGGATGACACAGAGCGTCCAGCACTTCTGTCGAATGCAGGGAGTCCCGGCGTTCTTTGACATCAACGTTTGCTTGTATCTTCCATACTCGAAAGAAAAATCAAGCTAAATCTTTGCAAAAATTAAAAAGGTTCCAGCAGATCAATAGCGGTGTCTCAAAGCCACGTTCATTCTAATTGGGACCGGGCATGCACCTGTTTTCCTTGCTGTCGCCACAAAGGGAAATATTTGAGACACAAGTGTCTTTTTAATCGATCGCGTTGAAATTTGAAGTACGAGGGATGGTTCATAATTTTTTTGCCCATCTTGACAGGCGTCATTTTCGCGGAATACAAGTACAGTGCTTGATTATTTTCCATGAAAAATGTTCTACAATTTTGCTCACCCAGTTCAAAACCGAGAGAAAACCAGAGAGTCGAAAGCTTGTCGCAATTCTTGCAAGAAAATGAATTTCATCAGCCACATTTGCATTTGATCATGAATTTTTCAACAGGCTAAAGTCACCCAAAACGGAAACAGATGCTTAATAGAAATGAAAAATTACCCGCTTGAGATTTTTCCGGATGTGAAAACAATGTTTAAATGAAAATTTTTTCGACCAAGTAGATTTTTATGATTCAGAGATGGATTATCCGCAGCAAAAGAACCGAAGCGTGATTTACGCATATGTTTTTATCGATCTTACATTGGTTTAAATTTTCAGTAGATTGAGACAAGGAAAACCTGGGTACTCAAAGGTACTGAAATCAATTCGGGAATCTCCCTCGTACATCAAAAATCCCTTATCATACAAGTCTCTAGCCTCCATTTCGAAAATTTATTTGGTACAGACCGAATTGCGTGAATCCAGCGTCCGGTAAATTATTAGGTAAGAAAACATAGCTTCTGGTTTTCTAAGTATTTGAAAAAACTTTATTTAACGACGGCTTTTGGAGCACGTAAAAGAGGCACTAAAGCCTTTGGGGGGAGGGAATTTTTTTTCTGTACATCTCACGAAAACTCAGATCCAGAATGTCTAAGTAACTTCATGTTTGATCCGTTGTGACAAGCCGAGTTCCAAAGGATAAAAAATAAACAGAGACTCGCGTTCAACTGAACGAAAGAAACCCTAGTTCGTCTCTGCAAAGACAAAAAAGAATACGAAACACATCATTTCTAGCTGAGATTCGTCATGTTTCACGGCTCATTATGATCATTATCATACCATTTTTCAACCAGCCTTTTCCGTCTCCAAGCATCGGATTCCCTGTAACAGAACATCACAGAGATTTTGTGGAGAAATTCCTGTCTATTCTCACAGAGACTTAAAAAATGGAAAAGAACCAATTTAGGCATTTGACATGTTCTACAGGTAAAAATTCAGGCGGCGTTTTCAATGGAACAGACTTCTATTTCGGGATCCCTGGGAAAAACTCAAGCGTTCTCAGTTTTCAGAAATATAGTATGAATCATGTTTCTCTTGTAAGTATGGCATCAATATTTCCGGGGAACAAAAATAATCATGAAATCGGATGGAAAACTCATTTAGCTGCCCTAAATAGAAATGGGCTCATTCTATAACTTGGTCACTTTAGGAAATACCGTATTTCTAGCTTTAGAAGTCCAAACTTCATCGTTTTCATTTACAGCGTTATTTTCTCCTCATAACAATTTTTTTATGGTCCCATAGGATCTTCTACTGATTAAAAATATATATTCTGCACTGTGCATGTAATTTCAGAGAGTCTAGATGCATTTCCTCTTCAAAAATTTAGTTTTACATGAAAGACGGGGGAAATTGATCCAAAGAGCAACGAAAGGTACACGAATTAGCTGATGGGATTTTCTAGCATCACTGTGAATAAACACCTGACAAACCTTTTTTTTATTAAAATTGTGTCTGAAAGGATTTTTATCCGTTTTAAAGCTGCTGCTTGAACACTTCGATGATTCTCCGATAGAACATATGTTGAGAATTGATATTTTTATTCCACAACATGAGACAAATTTTAGATGTGTTCGGAAAAAAATAATACCAAGTACGACTGATCGCCTCCCAACCGAATTATTCTCACTTTATCGACAACCACCTTGTCTCATTATGAAACCAGAAAAAATGCTCACGACCATATTTTAATCGACTTAATGACAGCAATTGGGCATCGTCTGTGAACCCTTTTCTTGCGATGAGCACACACGTTAAATAGCTATGAATCGCTGTTTCTGCCACACAAAAGCATCCAACATTTATGCGTACTTTTAGTGACTGTATTGCTGAAATTCGCTGCGCTGGAGAAATTAAGTTTTTTTTTTTTAAATAAAAAACCATAATACAGTATCTGGAAAGACTGTCAGTATAGAAGAACAACCCAGTTACTTTCAGCGCTCATTCGGTTGGCGCTTATTTTTACCTGGCGTTTAGTTTGGCAGTCACGAAATTCAAGATGACAAAAGAGAAGAGAAGAAGATTTTCCTTCGCTGTCGAAGGCAATCAAATCATGGGATGTACTCGACATTAATTCAATGAAAGTAACCAAGAACCTCTCGAGCCTATACCGAAAAAGATCCGCGATCAGCATTTCTACATCATTCCTCACGGAATCGGATTGAGAATGAGAATCGCATCAGGCCTCTATAGTCTATATAAACTCTATATGACATCGAAAGTCATTCCTTTTCTTCTTTAATACCGTATTAACTTGGACGATAAAATCGCGGAAGCAAGTCAGAATCCGTCATTATTGACCATCAGTAATTTTTATAAGAAGCTTAAAGAAACTTAGACGGAGGAATCAACACGAAAAAAAGTCAGATCCTATCATACACTCGAAGCAGTTCAAAATGGCGTCGCAGAAGTTGATAATACTTCCTTAAAATGCTTAAAATCTCAAAAAGGTCAGGTTCAATATATCAAGTGTAAATCTCCGTAATTTAGCAGATACGGAGATGCCCGTTTGAAAGAAATATGAAGCAGATAATCAGCTTGATACAATGCAATTAATTTTTTGGACTGTACAATAACCATCGGACTGGTCGCATGAC